TTTTGTGAGATTCAGCTGTGAAAAGGAAATGTGGGCTCATCCAATAGATTGGCTCTTTAAATTCATTGGGTGGGGGGAAGCTAAATATGCAGCATTTGCCTGGAAAAACTGAATCACACACTGCAACAATGTGGTTCATAGGACCTATATCACCAGGAGAGTGTCACTGGTTGCACAATTCCTGTGCTATCTACATACAAACTTGAGACTAAAGCAAGCACTAGTATCTTAAACATGCATCAGTGGATATGCAGAACCCAGCAGCTCCTCCCTTCTGGGCTAGATTCATAGTACAGTTAAGGACTTTTGTAGTTTCCAGTCTCTTTCCTAAACTCTCTCTTCTTTGTCTATGGCTTTTTCCCTTCAGTGAGGGACTCCTTGTTGTGGACACCTTTAAGACCCAATTGGTTGCAAGCGCCCCCCCCACCCCCCGCGCCATAGCTCACTTTATAGATCATACCACCTTATGACAATAGAGAAGGGCCAACAAAAAACTCCTTTCTCGGTGCTCTATTTTTCACCACCCTCTGGCCCTATACAAAAGCAGGGCCAGGAAGGAAATGTTAGAAATGGTGGAGTTATTTGCAGGGCACTCATGAGGTTTAAGCAGGTATTTTTTAAATGACCCGGTAACAGAGGTTTGCATATTAATCTGGTAAATGAAATTTGCAATCAGTCTGGAAGAAAAACATACCAATAGCCTTGAAAGACTGTGTCAAAGTGTCCCTCATTTTTCAAGAGAACCTCAGACTCTAGGAACTTAGCTACCAGGTGTCTCGCCACAGGAGAAGAAAGACTTTGCTGGCTTCCAGGAAGCAGCGGGTGAGACTATGAGTGTGCCAGTGACAGGGCTTGTGAGAGAGTCTTTTCTCTGTATGATGTATATTCAGAAACCCCATACCAACCTAGGACCGTGCTGCACCTCCTTCTTGTTCAGAAGGTTACAAATGAAAGCTGATAGTTGGATTCTGCACCAGCAGTGCAGTACACCCAGAGCACCATGATACTCATTACTGTTCCAGCTCATACAGGAGAGCCTTGTGGATCAGAAAACAGTGTAAATGTTCAGGAGAATTGAATTGATTTTTATTCCCATTCTATTTGCTTGGGCATCAGTCGCTGTGAAGAGATTTATAAAATCAGTTCCTTCCTGTCTTGTCCTTTACTTACATTACTGCAGACCATATTCCAGAACCCAAGCTTGATTCCTACAAATTATACTTGAAATGGTATAGTGCTTGGTTAAGACTATAGACTTTCAAAGACAGATGACCTGATTCAAACCCCAACTCCTTCAGTCATTGGTACATAGGATGTCAGCAAGTAATGAACACTGCTGTGCATAATTTCCTTGTCTATAACATGGGGATTGTATCAGTGATTTGTTAAAATGGGTGTTAGAAGTGTTAGATGGTGTAAAGTGTGTGAAAGCACTCAAAAACATGCCTGGCACATTGTAAACTGTATATTAGCTGATATTATCCTTCCCTTTCTCCTAAGCACATTCCTCTTCCTAATTCTTTACTCTAAAATTCAGGAAGAAAGAGTACAGCATATTTCAAGAACTATCAGGGATATCCTGGACACACACCGCATGCAGGGGCCACTGAAGTAATGAAGCTGTTCCCTTCCCAAGACTGGGAGGCAGACTCCGTGAAGGGGCCAGTTTTCTTTCCTTGTCTTCCTGTAGAATAGTAAGATGTCATAAGATGGGGCACATCCTCTGTCCCACATGCCCTTCACTGGTGTGGAAAGGAATATGGGTCTGCAACGCTCTCTGGGAAAGTCTTAAAAAGCATCCTTATGCACTAAATGGGTCAGGTCAACATGTAGGATACTGAAAGCAAATGACAAAGCAGCACTGTGCAAAGCTGGGGTCATAACACTTGGCAGCTATTACCATGCAGGTAGCTGAAATTGACACATCATCATCATCATCGTCATCATCATCATCATCATCATCGTTTGCTTGTGCTGACGTGTGTACCATCACATTCTTGTGGCAGTTAGAGGGCAATTTTAGAAGAGAGAGTCAATTCTCTTCTTCCACATTTAAGTTGGTCCTAGAGATCAAATTCAAGCTGCCAAGCTTGCATGACAAATGTCTTGCCCACAGAGCTATCTCACAGACCCAGAAATACTAGCATTTTAAACTCACTCCACATCTCCCACCCAAGATCAGTCCAGATCTGAATTAATTCTTGTGGTAGCCTTATGGCTATTTGGCTCTCCAATTGATGCCCTCTCTTCTCTTTAGTTAATTTAGTTAATTTTAGAAATTTAGTTAATTTCACTGTCAAGGTGATTTTCCTGGACATTGTTCTGGCCATTTCACCTTCCTGACAGAAAACATCCACTGGATTCCTGGAGGACTGGCGGCTATTATAAATGAATAAATTTGTTGGACTATGATAAAGGTAAACCTTGGATCTGAAAGCCATCACTTCTATAGGGACATATGCCATTTCCATTTATCTAAAATACAAAGGCCTTGTGGGTATACAGTTGCCTTCCCATCTTTAGTCAATAATATACACACTGATAGAAGAAATGACTCAATTTCCCCTTTACCATATGAAAATAAGGCCACCCCGCCAAAAGACTAAACTTGATTTAATCAGAGAAAAATTGTAGAAGTTCTTGTGAGACAGTTAGTTGTATTTATCATCCACATGAAGGTCATTTCTTGTAGGTAAGAGTGTGGGGGCTCTGTCTATTTGGCCAACTGGAAACCCTATGTCTTCATCAGATCAAAAGAGACCTAGTCTCCTTCTTATTGTCCTCAGCTGTGGCTCTCAGAGCATTGTCTAGGGACTCTCAAAGTTATTTAAGACTAAACATCTGTAAAGTCAATTTCTTTTTATTAAAAGTACTAAGATGTATTTTGGCCATTCTCAGTCTCCTTTTCCAACAGGGTTATTCCTAGGATTATTAAAAATGATAATGAACAAGTTTGTACTTAGAAAGTTCACTTCAATGTGCTTAATAGTTTCATATTTATTTGCTTTATAGTTATTTATTACAGACTTGTACAAGAATAGTTTATATTTACTTGTCATATATTATGGGCCAGTTCCAGTATGAGCAAATGGGGAGACAATAAAGTGCAAGAGATGTGTCCCTACTCTCAAGGTGGCTAATGACCCTCAGCCTAAGGTAGAGTGTTCTTGATCAAGACAGTGTGTCTAACTTTGCAGCTAAAAATACAGTACTTTGAGCATTCCAAGATTTGCATTGTTCTATTCTTTTGCACTGTTGATAAAGGGAGTCAAAGAGACCCCCAAAATAATACAGACTATTGCCACCTTTGCTCTTGGTTGCATCTCAGAAACTGAAGGTAAGACCCTATTGTTGAAGATACTATACAATTTAGATAAAAGATTTGGGAGAATTGAGCTGCAAATGACCTGAAGTCTCCTCCCTGAGAAGTAGCTCTCACAATACAGGGAAGAGCTACACAAGTTGCTCAGGGAGAAAAGCAATTCACAGTCCTACCCAGGTGCAATGCTTACAAACAGCAATGACTATAAAGGTAAGGTATCCTGAAAAAGGCAATAGTGGTGTTTATATCCTAGAAGCAACCAGAAGACATCTAATTGGATTTAAGACCTTCATAATCTGGAGGATTTCAGGTCCAGTACTATTAACGTATCTCACAACTCATGGCTGATGAGGCTATGGACTCTAGTAGAGAACCTATGACTGCCATTTCATTAACCCTAATTTCTAACTGAATTCTAAATACTTGTCTACAGCCATAGCACCCTGAACATGACTGATCTAGTCCAAATACTTATCCTTATTCTCACAGATGGGTGTAGCTCTCACTCCTCATCAAAGGAGCTCCTTTTTGTAGTAGATGGTGACCACTACAGAAAGCCAAAACTGGTCAAAATTCAGAGAATTGACTCTGAGTGTCCAGCCACATGAGATATCTACAACACAGCCCCATACCCGAGGCTCAGGCAGCATCATAGAAGAAGGACTGGAAAGATTTTAAGAGTCAGAAGACCAGGATGAGACATCTGCTGCAAAATAGTATCTTCTATGTATGACAAGTAAGCTCTACCCAGGAGATCGAAACAGTATGATTTCCTAAACAAGACATTAAAAAATCGTTAATTAACATGCCAATGGTTATGGTGGAATTCTTATCAGGCTTTATCCCTAGAAGAGCTATAGGCAATTACCGGTGGCTGAGAAACAAAGAATCTGTCTTCTCCAGAGGCAAGCCCCCCCCCCCCACCCCAATAGGCTAGCCAATCCCAAGAGGTCAGGTAAATACATATGAGAAACATTAAATGACCTCAGCCAATTGCATTTGTAAATTTATGTAAATATATGTGCAATTGTAATTAATGTAACTATAATTAAAAAATAAGAGTCCATGAATTTGAGAAGTCAGGAGGAGACTAGAGAAATCAGATGGGAGGGAAGGGAGAGGCAGAATTATGTAAATACAGTGTTTATGAAATTCTCAAAAATGAAAATAAAAACTGAAAACAAGGAAGCTTCTGCTTATGCTTTAGACAGTACTATACACCAAGTTATGACTTCTTTCCTACTAGCAAAAGATGTGTTGGGGTTGTAAGTTTCAGTATGATCAGGTTGTGATCTAGTTAGATATGATTTATGTAGACGTAATTGGCTGAAAATGAGATCATTTGGGCTCTAAGTCAGTTCTTATTTAAAAAGTGAATTTGGATATAAACACATACCCACGAAGAATTCCACATGAAAACTGAAGCAGAGATACCACATCTACAAGGCAAGGAGTCCCAGATATTGCCAACAACCCACATGAAGCTATAAGGTCATGGACTAGAATGTCTCTCACAGGCCTCTGAGGGGACCAACCCTGCTGAGTTTTGATTCTGTAGTTGTAGCTTTCAGAACTATAAGAAAATGAATTTCTGCTCTATAAGTTCCCCCCCTTCCCCCAGTTTGTGGCACTATATGATAGGCCTCAAAAAGCAAAGAAGAACAAGACAGTAGCTTACCCAATGAGTAGAAGTGACAGTGCTTGGCAGGGATGTGCTGATGATTTAAAAGATACCTTCTGAAATAATTACTTCTAGGTGCCAGTTTGCCTGGACTGTTAGGTGCCCAGGAACTGCATTAAACATCATTGGAGTGGCAACTGGAGAAGTCTTTCTGGAAGACATTAAGGATTAGTAAAGTGAATAAAACAGTGTTTTCACCAATGTGAGCACCATTGTTCCTTTCCCCCAGTGTGAGTGACCCCTATCCAACCAGGCTGAAGAGAAACAGGTGGACAACAGAGAACTCAGCCTCCCTGCTGAGTTTATCCTGGGACATCTGGTTTCTGCTATTTGTATATTATTATGTTATTATTATATTTACTCAGTGATATTGCTAACATATTAGTGTGTTTTAACACATTACAATATTCCCATACATGCCTGTACTATACTTTGATCACATCACCTTCTACCTACAATTTCTTATCCTCTCATTTTTCCTTCCCCTTTTCTCTTAAAGGCCATCTTTGATATTTAGCTTATTTTATTTTTTCACATATGGGAGAAAATATTTTATGGTTATCTTTCTGGGTCTGGCTAGCTTTGTTTAAAGTGTTCCATGCATTTTCCTGCAAATTATATTATTTCGCTTTTATGGCTAACTAAAAATCAGTGTGTGTGTGTGAGTGTGTTATACTTTGAAGAAGTGTTTTGCTTGATTCTTGAGATAATTGACCTTCAGGTTTCAAATATTGCATCAACTCCTGACTTGCAGGACTTCCGATACAAACAGGAACTATACAATTGCTTGCCTGGGTCTCTAGCTTTCCAATTAGAGTTTTTAGTGTTGTCAACATCTGTCATTATATCAGCCAATATTCCATTATCCTCCAAATCACAATTCTGTTTCCATGGAGAACTCTGATTAATATATCTTCTATGTGTTTTTTAAAGTTCTGTTTGCAACATTTACTTGTGTTAAGATCAACAGGCTTTGTTGATGTCAAAACCATCATAGGATGTCCTCACTTTCAACTGTAAACATTTACCTGTGAGTATGATGCTTGGCTTCTTCATACATCTCCTAGATTGACTACAAATGGAGGAATTAGAAGTCTGTTTTAATGTTTTAAGCTGTAATTAATTAACTGTCAGCAATATAATGGCTGACTTGTGCAAATATAATAACTGGCACCTTATTGTACACATGGCATTAAACAAATATAATTTAGCTTCAAAAGGAAAATAAAGCATTCCTTCTACACATCAAAATATACCTGAATAAATCTCTCTTTCCCTCTCATCCTCTCTCCCCAACCTCTCATTTCATTCTGAAATCCATAACACTAAACAAAATATGATCATTTGAGTTAAACCTTGACAATTCAGGCTACCCTGAAAATGTTTGCCATGCCTCAGCAACTAAACTTAGACAAAGTGTAAGTGGACCAGTTCTCAGTCCTAAATTTAGTAAGTCCAGCCCGTGGCTTGTCCAACCTTCAGGACTCTGGGAAATTCACAGAGAAGATAATGCATTGGTGTGACTTAGCATTTTTATAGAGGGCCGAAGGTCATAAGAATAGTGGTCCAAAGATAAGTGTAGCAAGGATGATTCTCTGGTCTCCTGAAAACTGAAAAAGTGTTAGTTCCAAGATGAATTCATTTGAGTTCTAGCTTTGGCTCTATCACTAGCAACTTGTGAGACATCAAGAGTGAACCTGGAACAGACATGACTGGGACAGAGTATGTCAGAGTGATGGTTTTTGTAGAGATATTCTCCTGTTTGTACTAAGGCTACCAAGTGTTTGAATACCATTATTTTCATCATCCCAGAAGTGAGAGGGAGTTAAAAGTTTAGCTTCCCTTGATATTTCTGTTTATCTATGCTTTTTATCTTTTTATTCAATAGATATCTATAGGGTATCTATTTAGGTAATAGCCATTTGAAGGAATGTGATTATTGACTGGAGGGAATCAATGTTTTTCTCCACCTTGCTGAAGCTCTGTGTTGGTAATTGAGATTGTAGAGAAGCCATGTGTTCTGGTTTCAGCTATGTTCATATGGGATTTCAGAGGCCCTAGACAGGTTCACCAAAGAGCAGTCTTTATCTGTCTTTTCACCAAATCTGAAAAGGTTCACATTTCGTGTTCTTTGAAATTAAATGGGGAGACTTTCTGAGTAGGTACTTTGTACTAGGTACTCCTGGATTTTGAAATACTGGTTTCATTTTAGGGATCTTGATTCCAGTTACTAGTCCATTTGTTTTGAGTGCTATGTTAGTTCTGTGTCACTATGACCAGAACACCTGACAGAAACAGCTTATAGGAAGATGCTGTTGGCTATTTCAACAGTTCATAGTTTCAGGAGAAATAAGTCTATCATGATAAGTAAGGCAGGTGGTGTTCACGTGATTGTCATAGTGGACAAAGAAGTAGAGAGAGAAAGACCAGAATCAGGGGCTAGCTATGGCATTCAAAAGTTTACACTTAGTGAACTTTTTTGGCAAGTTAAATCATCCTCTTAAAAGTTCCATAGTTTCCCCCAAACAGTGCTACCAGGTGGGAACAAACACTCAATTCATGAGCCTGTGGGGACATTATAATGGTTTAAATCTAGAGTCACAAGAATAAGGAGTAAAGACATGGCCTACTCAATACTATAGCAAAGACAATGGCTGGAATGCTTTTTACTAGCATCTCATTACTTTGCCCATTTGACAGAGTGCCTTTTATATGCTGAGTTTTCAGAGAAATATGTTTAGAAAATATCAGTTTCAATTCAAAGTTGTGGGACTTTATGACTTTAATTTTGCGGCATTGTTTTCATGTAAACCATCACAGACTCATCTTTGCATCCTTTGTTACAGCAGGAATGCAGTCCCTGACATTTAAATAGTTTTTGGAGAAGCATATGGAAGAAAGGGCTTATCAAGAAGTCATCACAGGCATCTAGAGTTTTTATTGGGGCAAGCAAAAGAAAAAAGAAAAAAAAAAACAGAGCCCACTCTCTCACCCTGCTTTTCTCTTACATGCTTGTTGTTTATAGCCTTCCTAGTTCAATTTCCTCTTTGTGACACCCAATGGTAAAAGTACTAACGAAATCAACCCATACTGCATTTTTAAATTTGTGGCTCTTCTCTAGAAGTTCTTCCAAATTATGGCACATTAGGGATCTTATATCCTGTCCCTCTTCAGGCAAAGAGAGGCATTTATTGCCAATGTTTTCCCAATTTTCACCCAAATTATTCATTTTCACACCCCCAAAAGGCATTTGGCAACAGAGAGATGTAACGTTTGTTCACATTAACCCATTTTAAAAACACTTAAGGAAACAACGTGAAGTCGCCTAATCCCCGTTATAGTGCTACCAACTAATGACAACTCTCCAGGTTCTGGTTTTAAAGGGAAAACATGTGGTTCATTTTGTGACAGAAACAAACCTAGCATCTTCTCTTATTTCTTAAAGGGTACAAGGTCTAATGGTAAGGCTGTTTTGCTAAAGAAGAAGAACATGAAACTCTGAGTATACTCGAAAATTGTATTTCTTGTTGGGAAAGTTTGGCACACTTTCCTATCATGAACAGTCTACTTCAGGCTAAAATAAATAAATGTATTAAGTTTTTAATCAAAAAGATCTCATCCAACTCTTCATATATTAGTGAATATTTACTCCCTAAATGTGATAAAGGCTTTGATGGGGGTGACATTGGGTGGGGAATGGCATTTTCTGATGTAAAATAATGCCTTGCAACACTCCACCAACAGATGACTTGGAGATACCACCAGGACCTTGTGAGATATTGCCAGTGTGTGAAGGTAGGACAAGAGCCTCAGCTCAGCCACTTGCAGTTGCCCAAATAGCAAAACTTCAGATCAAAGGTACTCTGCCCCTGTAGTGGGTATTATGAGAACTCAGTGTAATCTTGCTTGTGTAGTGTTTGGTAAGGAGCGCACAGTTAACTAAATGAGAGCCAATGTTACTCATTGCAGAAGACTTGAAACTCGGAGTGTTCTGTGGAGGATGTTTCAGCATTTCTATGCTAGCATTCCCTCCATTTGGCTCACACCCTGCCCAGAGAGTCCATGGGCTTTCTCATCATTGCTGACTCAAAAATCTCAAATTGTCCTACAAATAACCACTTGGTTTCTGGGCAAATGACAGGAAAATGACTTTACTTAGCAGCCCTATTTTGTAAGAATTGCTATAATGATCATGAACTTTTAAACATAAGTCCCTTAATATGCCACTGTTTTTGCCAGCCCTGCAACCCTTCACCATTATCACAAGGTTCTTTGTTTGGTTCATTTGTGGTGTGTGTGTGTGTGTGTGTGTGTGTGTGTGTGTGTGTAATATCTGAATAGTGAGGCATGATATGTTGGATTTAAAAATATCTCGACCATCAACAGTCTAACAATCATAAAATAGCCATAAAGTGATGTTTGTGTGGGTTGAAATATTGGCACTATTCATGGTGTCCAAATAAATTATGGAAGTGCCACAATGTTGGGCAGCAAAATCTGGACAGCTAATCAGCTGGGCCAGCCTGGATGGAGCTATATGGAAAACATAGACTCATTCTTTCTAGATAAAGCAAATCTGATGAACATTTTCAGTCTCCTGGCAAAAGATGCAGCAGGCGCTCCAGGAAATCAAAAGGCCATCCGCATTCCTATTTAGCCCTTTAGATAAATTCCTGCTGGGCATATTTGGGGACACAGGCTACACCTGACCAATGTATGCCAGTGGATTAAGGGAGGAAGTCAATCACCTAAATAAGTTTTTCTTGGAGGGATTTTGAGCCAGTCACAGAAGCAAGACATTAATATGTAAATGTGATGTTCCATCCTCATCTCTGCAGACTGAGCCCTGCCTTGCTGCTTTCTGCCTCCTAACTTTGCTCTGAGCAAGGTTTTCTATGGTCCCTAAAGTAGTTTATGTTCCAAAGTGCCCTAGCATCCCCTTGACATTCCTGTTCTCATCAGAAAGCTGTTGTCTCCTAGAGTCTGGCAGAGTAATGAGCTCAGATGATTGCACAGTGATGCTTAGAAGCTGACAGTCCCTGCCAACATTGCTATGCTATTTGTATTTTAAAAGATAACTCCGTTAAATGAAATAAATCCATAATTGGTAAAAAAAAATTTTTTTAGTCTGCATGAAAATGGAAA